CTCTCTCTCTCTCTCTCTCTCGCGCGAGCTCTCTCTCTCTCTCTCTCTCTCTCTCTCTCTCTCTCCCCCCCCGCGCGCGTGCAGAGAAAACCACAACCTATTCTTTCTCTCTCTCGGGCGCGCGCCCATACACACACACACACACACACACACACACACACACAAACATATATATATATATGTGTGTTTTTTTGCTAGAGTTATTTATTTATTTATTTATTCATTATATATAAATATTTCTATATATATATATATATATATATATATATATATATATATATATATATATATATATATATATATATATATATATATATATATATATATATATATATATATATATATATATATTTAAAATATATAATATATATATTTATTTATTTATTTAAAAATATATGTAGATCAATAATCTGTAAATATTATATGTTAAAAATGTAAATGAATCAATGAATCACGAGCAAAATATCACATTTCTAAATCTATTTGTATTTGTTTTGCTGTGTGTGTTGCTGTGCAGCTCCAGGATCAGGCTTCAGCCACCCAGAATAAGGAGTTTGATCCGCTGGGTCCACTGCCGCACGGCTGGGGTGAGAGAAACATTCCCTTCATAACCAGCAGACAAACCCATGCTCTCTTTTATAAGATACCGGACCAGCAGGTATTTTGTATTGTTCTGCTAACCTCATTATCTGCACCTGTGAAGCAGCACTAAAATTAGCCACCGCATCCTTCAATGTCCCACTTTAACAAACGAGAGCGGCTGGATCAGGCTAAACCAGCTGGAGAAAATAGCTCCGGTGCTGGAAATAGCTGCTTTGTTTGAGGAAGTGTTTGCTGTGTTTAATCTCCATGATTTCTCCTTCTGTTTGGCTCTCAGAGAAGAGAACAGACTCCAATGGCAGAGTTTATTTTGTTCATCACCCGACCAGATCCACACAGTGGGAGGATCCGCGAACTCAAGGGTCTGACTTTCATCTTCTTCTTCCTCAATATTACTGCACAGTATTAATGATTGTTTCTAAAGCAATAAACTACATGACCATAGTTGATATTTAAGATGAGTAAGAGTTTTTAAAGGTCCCGTGAAATTAAAATAATGCATTTAAGATGTTAATATCAGTATTTTAGTCCAAAACAGTGACAGAATTCACATTTACAAGATATAAATCTGATAGAAACATCTAAAGCTTGCAGTTTGCCACTTTTGCCTAAGTGGATCAATAATTTTTTTGCCAACACCTCATACTTCAGCTTCTTATCAAATCTTCTGACCAATTAAATCCTTTCTAGTGTCTGACATGCCCCACCCCTTTCTTCTTCATTTCATTTGATGCTCAGTTATAGATATTTACATTAGATGTCGCCTACGCTATTGTTGTCTATTGGAAGGAATGCGCCAATAGAGCCGCCATTTTGGTACAGGGTAGCGCTCCTTTGAATTGAATGTGGGATCCAGGTGCAGTAGAGGACAGGCCATCCAGAGCCAGAGATATATACATAAATTTATGATTGGGAGTTTTTCCGATGGCCAGTATGCAAATTTTTTTCTTGATCTATGAAAATTATAATTTTACATCACTTTTCTACATCGATGGACAGCATTGATGATTGTTTTCTTAGCAATAAACTACACTACCATAGTAGATATTTGAGATGAGTAAGAGTTTTTAAAGGTCCCGTGAAATTAAAATACTGTTTTTTAAGATGTTAGCATCAGAATTTTAGTCTTATGGATATAGTGTGCTTCAAAACAGTGATACAATTCACATTTACAAGATATAAATCTAATATCAACATTGTAAGCTTGCAGTTTGTCACTTCAGCCTTAATGGATCGGTGATTTTTTTTCTTCATACTTCAGTTTCTTAGACCCCGTTTACACTAATGCGTTTTAGTTTGAAAACGCATAAGTTTTGCTACGGTTACGCCATCCGTCCACACTACGCCGGAGTTCTCGAGGCTTTTCCTCAATATTAAGTAGCCCACACACAGTTCAGTCTCGCATCCTCTTCTTGTAAGTTAAGACTTCGCAAGTTTGATCAAGGCTGCAGTCTCTTCTTCTCAGTTTGATATGGAAAACAGACTATACCGAGGACACGGGTAAATCTTCACAGGGAACAGTGTACTTTATAAATTCATTCACATCACCTTGGCTACGTTGTTTCACTTTCTCAATAATAAAATGTAAACATGATTTAAGGAACTGCCTATTTTCTTTTTAATATTAGCAACTTAACAGACAGCAGAAATGTTGAGGCGTCGTGCTGCATATATGAGCGTCATCTTCACTGTGTGGATATTTATAACAAAACGGAGCCGATAACAACTGCCTCCTTTCAATTTCAGTGAAAATACGAAACACACCCTCTCTTCTGCTGAATATCAGTTTTAATAATCGATAATTATAAAAGTATAACATACAATAAGTTTATACATTGTGGGAAATAAAGGCAAGCGATCAGTCAATGTACCTGGATTAATCATTAACTTATCTTTGCGCTTAAGCAAAACAAGTTACCCGTGAACAAGTAACTTATTAGATTCCAATGACCAAAGTCAGGGAATATGTCGTTAGATAAAGACAACAACATGAATGAAATATCACGTTTAGCAAATATAGTGAGATTAGATCCAGCGGGAGATGCTTGATGAGCAGTCCGACAAGCAGAGCTCTCATCTGGGTAGAAATGCTGGAGCGCTTGCTCGAGAGTGTGTCTGTGTTGTCACGTGATGTGCGTTTTCAGCGTTTTGGTGTGGACGGAGAGCTGTTCAGAAACGCTGGGTAAAACGCGAGTGTGGACGCGGATCGTTTTCATTCTACAACGCCGTTTTAAAACTAAAACGCACTAGTGTAAACGGGGCCTTAAAGGGCCATGAAAGCCCCTCGTTTCAGCAGGGTGTTTTCACACCTCTACTTTGGAAAAAGTCAGAAAAGTGGGCGTGTCCAGTTCTGTTTAGGGGGGAGTGTCGGAGGAACTAAAGTGGGAGGGTGTGGGAGTGTCTATTTGGGCACGCGCGAGTTTCAGAGTCAAAATACACACAAACACACAGGAGAAAGTGATGGTGTTTAACCTACATGGACATCTGTAGTCGAATTATTTGCCAAATTATTAAATGTTGGACTTTAACTGCAGTTTGGCTCTTTCATTCAGAGAATTCATTCATGTCCCTCGCGACAAACGTGATATTTGATTCGAGGAGCTGCTCTAAGCGTGTATTTTTCATGCAATGTTTGATACCGCACGGCGAATGAGAGAAAAAAAAACCTCTGCATTTCCCGGAAACTTAGATGCACACAGCAGGTAGTGTCAGAAAGCCGCGTGTGTTATTCCGGTCACAAAAAAAGTTTGGTTGTGGTGCTAACATGTTTACACTCGGTGCAATAGTTAACTTAGTTCGATACGAACAAACTGAGTAAACAAAGAGCACTGATCGCTCACTTACCAAATCTGTAGAGACAGGACAATCACCAGCAACTAGAGCCGCGTCTTTATTAAGAGGAGACTACAAGCGAATCCGGATCTCAGCGTTTGCAGATGAGAACAGCTATCAGGTAAACAATAATCCTCCTTTAGACACGTAAAGTTATTGTTGTCGAGCGTCGCGTACACTGTTAATCCACACGTGACTCCAGCTGAGCTCTCACAGAGAGAAAATGAAAACAAAACTTAACTGCAGCAAACTATAAAAGCAAAACTTCACGCTTGTTTTGCCAACACAACGTGGCGTCTCTGTCGTCTAAACACTGTGACAGTAATGAATATTAATGAAGTTGCACAATAGAGCGCGCTGATTGGTTTGAACCAAGCCTTACTCATGCATTAATGCAGCACACTGTAAGACGTAATAAGACACACTCTGGCACAGACGTCCAGTCTGCACGCTGGAATACACGCTATTATGTCATGACCGTGACGCAGCTTCAAAAATTCGTTTCAAACCGGAAGTACGAATTTGCTTGAAATAACGCAAAAACAACCAATTTACATTTTTTAGTGAAATATAGGTGTCCTAATAGTGTTTTTAGCAGTGTGGGACACATATACGACTGTCAACAGCTCAACACATGTGTTTTGGTGTTTCGTGACCCTTTAACAAATCTCCTGGCCAATCAAATGCTCCCTAGTGTCTGACATGCCCCGCCCCCTTTTCATTTGCTTTTTATTTGATGCACTTGAGCTCAACCATAGATATTTACATTAGATTTACATTAGATTGTTGTCTATTAGAAGGAAAGCATCAATAGAGCCGCCATTTTGGTACAGGGTAGCGCTCTTTTGAAGTGAATGTGGGACCAAGGTGCAGTAGAGGACAGGCCATCCAGAGCCAGAGATATACACCTATATCTATGATCGGGTGGTCAGTATGCAAATATCGTTTTAAATTATGAAAACTGTAATTTTACATCACTTTTCTACATCGATGGATAGTGTCTGCAGGAGCATTGCCGACAAAGGAAAAGAGTTATTTCCCTCCCTGTTAAAATGGATCTAATCCATGTCCTGAATCACACCTCCTCTCCTGCTTTCACTTCTAATTCTAACGGAGGGAGCGATTCGTTTGTGAATGAATCTCCGTTATGAACGACTCATGTGAACCATCGATATCCCAGCGTCTCAATGTGCACATCCACCTTTCTGACCTAATGTTTCACTGATTCAGCAGCTAGTTTTAGCACCTAAACACTTTGTGAAATACTCTTAATACTCTTAAAGCAAAAACGCAGGGCATTATTTTCAAGAGTTTCCAGATAGGAGCTACTTTTAGCTTTAAGATATTTCTTGAAAACACTCTCTAAAGAATATTTTCATGAACTGTTTTATTCATGAATCGTTTATTAAACCGTGCTCATGTTGCTGTTTGTGTGTCCTGCAGTCTGCTTAATGAGAAGCCTCTGCCTGAAGGATGGGAGATGAGGTTCACGGTCGATGGCATCCCTTACTTTGTAGATCACAACCGCAGAACCACTACTTATATCGACCCGCGCACTGGAAAATCCTCCCTGTGAGTGCAAACACATCCACTTACTCGCTCATTTACAGAGGTGGAGCTCATAGCATTAGGATTTTAGCTGCATGGGAACGTTTTGAGGATAGTTGCACAGTCGCATAATGACATTAGCTCTGTGGTCACATAATGATGTTAGCTGCATGGCTGCAGTATGGCTGCACTGCCAATTAACTGACTATAATAAACCTGAAGAATATTATTATTGATTAAATAATTGTTTTCGCTCTTTTTTTCAAGTATTCAAGTCATCTTTTTTTTTAAACAAAAAAGCTTTTTATTTAGTTGTTTTTTAATTAATTTTTATTAGTTTATTTATATATTTTGACTTTTTATTTTTTATTTTGTTTTTTATTTAATAATTTTGTTTTATTGTACTTCTTTTTTATGATTTATTTATGCATTAAATTTTATAAGCTATTTATTTTAGAGTATTATTTCTTAGTTTTATTTTAAATAATTTATAATTTTTTTATTTAAATTATTATTTGTTCTTTTTATTTATTTATTTATATTTATGTATGTATTTATTTATAAGCTAATTATTTAATAGTATTAAAAATGGTTTTAGTTGAATATAATAAACCTGAAGAATATTACTATTGATTAAATGATTATAATTGCTCTTTTTAAGTATTCTTCAAAACATCTTTTTAACAAAAAATGCTTTTTATTTATTTATTTATTTATTAATGAATTTTTATTTGTTTATTTTTACTTATTTTTTTATTTATTAGTTTTATATAATTAAAACATTTTTTGTTTTAATTTTACTTATTTTGTATTATTTATTCATTACATTTATAAGCTATTTATTTTAGAGTATTATTTCTTAGTTTTATTTAAATAAATTTATATATATTGTTATTTAAATTATTATTTGTTATTTTTATTTCTTTATATTTATTTATAAGCTATTTATTTTATAGTATCAAAAATGTTTTTTGTTGACTGTAATAAATCTGAAGTATACAACTATTGACTAAATAATTATTATCGCTCTTTTTAAGGTATTCTTTAAATCGTCTTTTTGACAAAAAATGTTTTTATTTATTTATTTATTTATTTTTATTTGTTTATTTTTATATTTTTGCTTAATTTTTTATTTATTAGTTTTATTTTATTTATTTTTTCATAAATTTTTATTATAATTTTATATGATAAAATTTTATAAGCTATTTATTTAAGAGTATTATTTCTTAGTATTATTTTAAGAATTTTTTTTTATTATTTGTTATTATTATTTTTTTATTTATTAGCTATTTATTATATAGTATCAAAAATGGTTTTAGTTGACTATAAAAAATCTAATGAATATTACAGTTGACTATTTAATTATCGCTCTTTTAAGTATTCTTCAAGTTGTCTTTTTAACAAAAAATGCTGTTTGTTTATTTATTGATGAATAATTTTTATTTGTTTATTTTTTATATTTTAAGTTAAGATTTTAATTTGTTAGTTTTATTTTAATAAATGAATTAGTTCTGTGGTCACATAATGATGTTAGCTGCATAGCTGCAGTATGATGTTAGCTTTGTGGTCGCATTTTTATATTGTTGCAGTGCACGCAGTCATGGTTGCAGTATTACGTCAACAAATCTGCTTTATCTCCTTTCCACTTATTGATCATCAAATCACTTATCACTGAATCTGACACTCATGAATTCGTTATGCATGGATCATAGTTTTGACCTTGAGTGGATTCGCACTGCATGCTAATGTGATTGGGCTTGGAGATGCACAAAGCTCTCTTTCAGACGGGACAGTGTGCGTTCATCAGATGTCAGATGCAGAACAGGAAAAACAGGTTTCTGTCAAACTGGTTGTATTGTGATCTCTGATGGTGACTCAGCATGGAGAACACAAACACACCTCTCCAATGCGTCTCCTGATCTACATGAAATGTATTTCAAGATGTGACGTGAGGTTGTAGGTCAGAATGTGAGACGTGTCAACAAACAAGCATCTGTACGCAGTGTTACCATTCATCAGCGGCACAATCGAAGCACCCTGTCTACATTAAAGACTTTTAGCAGGGTGTTTTCACCATGGTAAATTAGCGTATCATTATCATTAGAGGAATTTTCCGAATTATTACAGGAATTTACTAAAGTGATTCACAGTTATTTGACTTTAAAGACACAATATGTAAGATATCAAAAGAGCCACTATCGTTGTTATTCATTCATTCATTCATTTTCTTGTCGGCTTAGTCCTTTTATTAATCCGGGGTCGCCACAGCGGAATGAACCGCCAACCTATCCAGCAAGTTTTTACGCAGCGGATGCCCTTCCAGCCGCAACCCATCTCTGGGAAACATCCACACATACACTACGGACAATTTAGCCTACTCAATTCACCTGACAGTCTTTGGACTGTGGGGGAAACCGGAGCACCCGGAGCAAACCCACGCGAAGGCAGGGGAGAACATGCAAACTCCACACACAAACACCAACTGAGCCGAGGTTCGAACCAGCGACCTTCTAGGCTGCCTCGCCCTAGTGCTGTTATATATTTGCTGAATTATGGATTTGTATTCTCAGATGTGTGGAAGAATGTTAATATCCTGAAAAATAAGCAGTATTAGCTAGTGAGAAGGAGTGTGTGGTGTGTATTCATGCTAATGACATCTCACACCCTCATTTTCTGGGGTGGTTTCCTAGAAAACAGGGACACTAATACATGGCTTTCAAAGTCAATTCCTGGAGGGCCGCAGTTTTGCTTCAACCCTGACCCAAACGCAGTGAGCACCTTGATTAGTTGTTTCAGTTGTGTTTGACTAGGGTTGGAGCAAAACTGTGCAGAGCTGCAGCCCTACAGGAATTCACTTTGAAACCTATGCTCTAATATGTTTTGTGTTTTATTAGACCGCACAGGGCAGCATTGTAACAGAATCCTATAAAGATTTGGACTGTGGCATAATAAAATAGGATGTAATGAACTCCACAACTCTCATGACTCCACATTTAATCACGCTGTCATCAAAATACTCCATTGCTTGAAGTGAATGCATGCCCTCTAGTGGCTAAAATTACGTACTGTGCCTTTAAATTATGGCACAGACAACAAAACTCAAGACATGTCACCTTGGATCACTAAACCTGTCATAAGCATACTTCATTTAATTCTGAAAAATTAATGCATGGTTTATTTATGGGGATTAGACATTTTTGGCTGAGATAAAACAGATAAAACATGATAAAGCATTTGAATATTTGAGTTAAGTCAATTATAAAAAAACGTACGGCCCATAATTTTCATTTCAATGCATCTCTAAAAATAGTATGTTCTTAGCAAGTCACATTACTAATCGAAGCTTAAGTTTTGGCCTGTTTACTGTATGAAACACACAGTATATCTTCATGAAACATGATTTTTATTTGATATTTTATTGATTTTTTTTTTTTGCATAAAAGAAAAATGTTGATCCATACTATGTATTTTTGCCTGTTCCCACAAATATTCCTGTGCAACGCGAGACAAAGATTAAACAGTTTTCTGTCATATCTCTTTAAATATACACTACAGCATCAAGTGTAGTCACATAAAATGTCATATCTTTGGTAATCCTGCTCAGTATAAAGGATTTTGCTTGTGTTATGAATGATTTGTCTCTTCTCTTCTCTTCAGTGAGAACGGTCCTCAGATCACATATGTACGAGACTTCAAAGCCAAAGTTCAGTACTTCAGATTCTGGTGTCAGGTGAGCCTTTCCTTCAGTTTTATCAGGTTGTGTCTGTTAATATCTATAGATTAATTCTCTGATGTTTTAAACAAGTATAATTGACCAAATAATTGAAGTTGGTCAGATTAGTGTACAAAGTAATATGAGATGGATGCCATTTTATTTAATAACAATCTTTTTTTAAAATCTTTAATCTTTTTTTCTTTAACTTTTAAAATGTTAGTATTTTTGTTTGTGTGTATTTTGACTTTATCTACTAGCTGAAATAGGAGTTTGTTATTTAATTTATTTATTAATACATATTTGTTATTATTTTATTTATTTATTAGATTTATATTAATTAATTTATTTTTTATTTATTTGTTTTAATTTAACTTTTTTTCATTTATTTATTTTTTTAGAGGATCAAAAATGGTTTTAAGTGACTTTAATAAACCTGAAAAATATTACTTTTGGCACAATAATTATTATTGCACCTTTTACGAGTATTATTCAAATGATCTTTGTAATAAAAAAGGCTGTTTCATTTATTAATTAAGTAATTAAATGTTATTTATTTATTTTCTTTCTACTTTTTTTATTTATTATTTTAATTAATTATTTTTTTATTTGTTTGTTTTAATATAATTTATTTTTTATTTATTAAAAAAAATTTTTTAGAGTATCATAAATAGTTTTAATTGCCTATAATTTTTTTTTTACAAAAAATGCTCTTCATTTTGTTAATTATTTTTTTATTTAATAATTTGTATTTTTTTACTTTTATTTTTTAAGTTAGTTCTGTATTAAGTCATTTTATTTTATTTTAAATGTATTTTTAAATGTATTTATTGTTATAATTTCTTTATTCATTTAATAAACTATTTTAAAGTATGAAAAATGGTTTTAATTGACTATAATAAACCAGATTAATATCATTTTTTTCTAAAATTTATATTCTAACATTTTGTTTTTTTTGGATTCGTCATCTTTTTAACAAAAATTGCTGTTTTGTTTTTATTTTTACCTTTTTTTATCATAGCAATTATCGATGCCGCAGCACATAAAGATCAACGTCAGCCGCAAAACTCTCTTTGAGGACTCCTTCCAGCAGGTACTGCAGTCACACTCCACAATTAACCATCACTATTTTAATACTGCATTATTTATGAGTAGCTCTAGCATTTAAAAGTGTTTAAATGATTTTTTTATGGAGATCATTGATTGGGGTAGCCTATAGATGTCTCCTGAGCTGTGAAATGATGTTATTATGGTGTTTTTTTCCTTCAGATCATGAGTTTTAGCGCTCAGGATCTGCGGCGCAGGCTCTGGATCATCTTTCCTGGAGAAGAAGGACTGGATTATGGAGGAGTGGCCAGGCAAGTCTCAGATTCACTCTTATTTATTGGAAAATAAAGACACGATGAGCCATTCTTGAGTACGGCTAGGCTGACAAACTATCATATTGAATCATGATGAACTTTATATCGGTAGTTAGTGGTGTAACGCATGGCAAATCTCATGCTTCAGATCACATTACTGTTTTTGAGTCATGGATCGGACAATGGATCGGTCTACATATATATTTTATATACTTATATTTAGAAAGAGAGTGAGAGTGATTTCTGTTTTCAAATATCCTGTGTGTATGTTGTGTTTCAGAGAGTGGTTTTTCCTGCTGTCCCACGAGGTCCTGAACCCGATGTACTGCCTGTTTGAATACGCCGGGAAAGACAACTACTGTCTGCAGATAAACCCCGCCTCCTATATCAACCCCGACCACCTCAAATACTTCAAGTTCATTGGTCGCTTCATCGCCATGGTAATGTGCTCTTGCCATATTTGGTCATTGTCAGATTTTAATCCAACTGGTGTTTGATCTTAATAGTGATTCCTGTTTCACGACCCGATTTGCAGTGGCGCAGTAGGTAGTGCTGTCGCCTTACAGCAAGAAGCTCGCTGGGTCGCTGGTTCAAACATCGGCTCAGTTGGCGTTTCTGTGTGGAGTTTGCATGTTCTTCCTGCCTTCACGTAGGTTTCCTCCGGGTGCTCCGGTTTCCCCCATAGTCCAAGAACATGCGGTACAGGTGAATTGGGTAGGCTAAATTGTCCGTAGTGTATGAGTGTGTGTGTGAATGTGTGTGTTGATGTTTCCCAGAGATGGGTTGCGGCTGGAAGGGCATCCGCTGCGTAAAAACTTGCTGGATAAGTTGGCGGTTCATTCCCCTGTGGCGACCCCGGATTAATAAAGGGACTAAGCTGACAAGAAAATGAATGAGTTCTCACAATGTTGATTATTAAAAAGCTGTTTCTTAAAATTATACTTGGCCAATAGCCTAGTGGCTGACATGGTGCTCACGCCGACCGGAGTTCGGTTTCCGGCTTGATGTCCTATGCTAATCCCCTTTTTCTGCTCCCAATGCTTTCCTGTCTGTTCTCCACTGTCCTGTCTCAATAAAAGGTCAAAAATCCCTAAAAAGATAGACTGATAACAGATTGCTGCATCAGAAGATAACAGATTGTGGTATTAAATTCCACTGATGCGATGCTCGAAAGGAAAAACAAGCTTGACCAAAACAAGTTTTTAATATGGAGCTTAAAATATGCCAAAATAATCTGAATTTGAATTGTGTTAATACTTGAATTGACGGGGCGAGGCAGTGGCGCTGTAGGTAGTGCTGTCGCCTCACAGCAAGAAGGTTGCTGGTTCGAACCTCGGCTCAGTTGGCGTTTCTGTGTGGAGTTTGCATGTTCTCCCTGCCTTCGCGTGGGTTTCCTCCGGGTGCTCCGGTTTCCCCCACAGTCCAAAGACATGCGGTACAGGTGAATTGGGTAGGCTAAATTGTCCATAGTGTATGAGTGTGTGTGTGAATGTGTGTGTGGATGTTTCCCAGAGATGGGTTGCGGCTGGTAGGGCATCCGCTGCGTAAAAACTTGCTGGATAAGTTGGCGGTTCATTCCGCTGTGTCGACCACGGATTAATAAATGGACTAAGCCGACAAGAAAATGAATGAATAATACTTGATTTGACTTCTCGGGGATCATCTTCTCTCCTCTATTGACCTGCTTTCTGCGCTCTCTGTATTTTAATTTTGATCATCTCAAGATCATCTTGAGATCTTGAAACTGTATTCCTACAATCTGGATGTCTGCAGGAATTCAGAAAAAAAAAATCTGAATTTTTGAAAACATGTCTATAAAAGTCTACCTTTAAAAAATGTTGTCACCTTAAATGTAAAATGTTTAATATTCAAGTTAAGGTATTTAAATTCAAAGCAGTTTTTAATAGTTTGTATTATTCAGTTATGTTAAATTACAACTTTATTCAAATTCAGATTGTTTTGGCATAATTTAAGCTTCATAATGTCCGACTTTCTGCGCTCTCTGAATTTTAGAAAATTGAATTTGATATTCTGAACTTCTTCATCTTGAAAACTTAAAACTGGATATCTGCAGGAATTCAGAACAAAAAAATCTGAATTTTAAAAATAAGTACAAAAATCTGCCTTAAATGATGATTATTCATATTAAGATATTCAAATTATATAATGTTATGTTTTTTTTTTTTATTACAGTTGCTAATAGTTAAAATGAACACAATTCAGATTGTTTTGGCATATTTTAAGCTCCATATTTTTCTAACCGGAACATTTATTTAGAATATTATTCATTTATTCATTCATTCATTTTCTTGTCGGCTTTGTCCCTTTATTAATCCGGGGTTGCCACAGTGGAATGAACCGCCAACTTGTCCAGCACGTTTTTACGCAGCAGATGCCCTTCCAGCCGCAACCCATCTCTGAGAAACATCCACACACACTCATAAACTAGAGAAAGTTTAGCCTAACCAACTCACCTGCACCGCATGTGTTTGGACTGTGGGGGAAACCAGAGCACCCGGAAGAAACCCACATGAACACATGCGAACTCCTCAGAGAAACGCCAACTGACCCAGCTGAGGATCAAACCAGCAACCCAGCAGTCTTCTTGCGGTGAGGCGACAGCACTACCTACTGGGCCACTGCGTCGCCGAGTATTACTCATTCATTCATTCATTATTCTCTATTTTCTTTTCGGCTTAGTCCCTTGATTATTCTGGGGTCGCCACCGTGGAATGAACCTTCCAGCTGCAACCCATCCCTGGGAATAATCCAAGCACTCTTATTCACACACATATCTCTTTAAGTAGTAATAGTGTCATAGTGCATGTCTTTGGACTTGTGGGGGAAACCGGAGTACACACGGGGAGAACATGCAAACTCCACACTGAAATGACAACTTGCTGAGCCAGGGCTCAAACCAGTGGGCTTCTTGCTGTGAGGCGATCGTGCTACCCACTGCGCCACCATGACACCCTCGATTATTATTATTATTATTATTATTATTATTATTATTATTATTATTATTATTATTTATAAAAAAAAAATTTTATTTATTTTTTTACATATTAAGTTGAGGTTAGTAATGTAAGCATAAATGCACTAAATAACGCAAAATTCACTGACTCTGGCTCTGATTTCTCTAGGCTTTGTTTCATGGGAAGTTCATCGACACAGGCTTTTCTCTGCCGTTCTACAAGCGCATCCTGAACAAGCCGCTGACTCTCAAAGACCTGGAGTCCATCGACCCGGAGTTTTACAACTCGCTCATCTGGATCAAGTCAGTTTCCAAATCATGAATATTTATTAGCGGTGTTGCAAATAAATTATTATTGTAATTATTATTATGATTATTTTGTATCATTTTTATAACAATAATAATAAAAATAATAAATATAATAATAATAATAATAATAATAACAAAACAGAAATAAAAATAATAACAATAATAATAATAATAAATAATAATAATAATTAATAATAATAATAATTTTATTATTATTATTAGTATAATTATAAAATAATAATACTAAAAATAATAAATATTATTATTATATTTATTTATTATTATTTTTTTATAATTATACTAATAATAATAATAAAATTATTATTATTATTATTTATTATTATTATTATTATTGTTATTATTTTTATTTCTGTTTTGTTATTATTTATTATTATTATTATTATTATTATTATTATTGTTATTATTTTTATTTCTGTTTTGTTATTATTATTATTATTATTATTATTATTATTTATTATTATCATTATTGTTATTATTTTTATTTCTGTTTTGTTATTATTATTATTATTATTTATTATTATTATTATTGTTGTTGTTGTTATTTTTATTTCTGTTTTGTTATTATTATTATTTATTATTATTATTGTTGTTGTTGTTGTTGTTATTATTGTTATTATTATTATTATTATAAACCCAAAAATGTATAACATCAGTAATTTTGCCCAATTTGTTACAGAAACGTATATTCTCTACATATTTGAGCTTGTTTATCTGTTGCCAGTTTTAAAAAGAATGCTTCACACATGCTTTAAATGCATGTAAAACTATTTTTTTTTTTTTTTTTAGCTTGTTAAGTGATCGTACGCTAGCTTCCTGATATCTGAATTGCAGCTCAGCCTCTTAAAGCATGTCTGCGTGTGTGTTTCAGGGATAATAACATCGAGGAGTGCGGCCTGGAGATGTTTTTCTCGGTGGATAAGGAGATTCTGGGTGAAGTGTCGACTCACGAGCTGAAGCCGGACGGAGGAAACATTCAGGTCACCGAGGAGAATAAGGAGGAGTATATTAGGTCAGCAAACACACCCATGATTATTCAGCACACACTCGCAACACAGTTAACCTGATGCTTTAAAGGAGACCTATTAAGCAAAACTCACTTTAATAAGGGGTTTAAACACAGTTGTGTATCAGCAGTGTGTGAATATATCCAGCCTCTAATGGTAAAAATGTATTAATTGTATTGTTTGTAATCAGACTTGATCATAACAGTCTGCAGAAACACTTTGATTGACATTCTCCAGTTGTACGTGTCATCAGAGGAGGAAAGCCCCGCCCACTAGTAACCATCTCTCCCTCCTTAGCATATGACTTTAGTCTTGTTTTTGAATCTGCCACTATGCTGACACACAGGCATTCATAGCTCCGCCCTCTTTTGAAAAGAGCACAATCTCATTTGAATTTAAAGCGACAGTCACCAAAACGCCCAATTAGGACCAAAGCCTAAAAGGGTCAGTTTCAGAGAGGTAAAGAACATTATCTGTGTGGTATTTTGAGCTGAAACTTCACTACACACACACTGTATAGTCATCAGAGACTTATTTTACATCTTGTAAAAATTGCAAAATAGGTCCCCTATATAATATAATACCCCTGATAATGGTATTTTATTAATTGGCAAAGATTGATAGATACATTTATTAAATATATAATAAAATAAGAAGCAATGAATACAAATATGAATAATATTAATATTGTCTTAAATAATAATCAATGCATTTTTATTTAGTAAATGATTTATTAATGGTTTTATGTATTTTGATAATGTTTTAATGTGTAGATGTATTTAATAAAGTAAATGTCATACATTTTAATAACATGTATTTGTGTAAAAACGTTTAATAAATTATATTAATTGCAGTATTAATAAATTTTAATTTCGATCTTAATGATAAAATAAATAATAGCACAATAATAATAATAATATTATGAATTTAAATATAATTAATATTGTCTAAAATAATAATTATTTTGTTTTGTTAGTAATATTTTTCAGTTCAAAATGAAGTTTTATAAATATTTATGTTTGTTGTGTTTGTAAATGTGTATATAATAAAATACATTTTTAAAAACGCCAATTACTTCATTCATTTACCTTCTGCTTTAGTCCCTGATTTATCAGGGCTGGCCACTGTGGAATGAACCGCCAACTGCTCTAATTTATTTTTCAATATTTGTTTATGCGTTTAAATATATTATGCATGGTAACTACTTTTAGACTTAAATAATCAATATATAATTGAACTTTTTTGTATTTAATGCCATTTGTTTTGGTATTGAAACAAGATTTACTGCAAAATTGATGTACTGTAAACGGAGTAATCAAAGTTTTGTGTTTGTGTGTGTGTGTTCAGGCTGGTGGCAGAGTGGCGTCTGTCTCGCGGTGTGGAGGAACAAACTCAAGCTTTCTTTGAGGGATTCAACGAGGTTCTTCCACAGCAGTACCTGCAGTATTTCGATGCCAAAGAACTGGAGGTGATACAGAATCTACAAAAGTCACACAAGTTTCACAAATATCTGGACACTGAAATCACAAGTCAGCATGAAGCTGAAGTTGCAATAGTCTCATCTCCTCTATTGAGATTTATAGTTAAAGCCTTCTTTGAAATATTTTTTTTTTTAATTTCTTTTTTCATTTTCACAGTAAATTTATTTTAGATTATTTATTTGTTTTATTATATTAATTATATATTCTATTATATTTTTCTTCTAGAGAAAGTCGTATTTAGTTTAGTTTGACATTCTTTGTAATCACTTTGTACGCTCAATATTATTAGCCATCTTTAGAAATATGTAGTTTTCCAATTGTCTACAGAACAAACCACTGTTGTTCAATGACTTGCCGAGTTCACATCATTAACCTAGTTGAGCCTTTTGTTTGTTGTGAATATACGCCCTCTAGTGGCCAAAATACATGCTGTTCCTTTAATCCAGAGGTGTCAAACGTACGGTTTAATCCGGCCCACTTAGGAATAGATTTTCCTCCATGTGGCCCCTGAGCGAAAAGGAGATTGACACCCCTGCTTTAATCATTATTAAATATCAGTCCGTTATATAAAAAAATCCATTGACTTTTGAATAGATATCTGTAGGTCTATATACAGTTGAAGTCAGAATTATTCGCCCCTGTTTATTTTTTTTTCTCCCAATTTCTGTTTAACGGAGAGAAGTTTTTCAAATCATAATAGTTTTAATAACTCATTTCTAATCACTGATTTCTTTTATCTTTGCCATGATGACAGCAACTATTATTAGACTAAATATTCTTCAAGATACTAGTATTCAGCTTAAAGAGACATTTAGAGGCTTAACTAGATTAATTAGGGTTAATAATTATCGGCTTGACTGTATATATGGTGTGAATCTCATTTCCAGTGGCAGATGTTGATGACTTGGCAGTATTTAATGTGTGTTTGTGTGTTGTAGGTGATGTTGTGTGGGATGCAGGAAATCGACCTGAACGACTGGCAGAGGAACACCATTTACAGACATTACACCTCCTCCAGTAAACAGATCATGTGGTTCTGGCAGGTAATGATGTTAATATAGGCGCCACCTGCTGGAAGAGACTGAATTAGTTTTGTATGTACAATCTTTGTGTGGATCATGGTGAAAAGAGCTTAGCTCAGTGGCCTTACAGCAAGAAGGGATCGAGTCCCGGCTGGACCAGTGGGCATTTCTGTGTGGAGTTGGCATGTTCTCTCTGTGTTGGTGTGGGTTTCTTCTGGGTGCTCCGGTTTCCCCGCTGCAACTTGGGTTCAGTATGCTTGGGTCATTAGTATTAGCCACCCAAGAAGATGATTAGCCTGGCCCAAAAACGACATCAGCCCAGTGGGAAACTGTGTCTACAGCCTGGCTGCAGTGGTGTTTGTTGTGGTGCTTTCTGATATCAACATTTTTTAGCAAGGAATGGCTTAAATTGGTGATCTTTAAGTTAAAAGTTTCCTTCTTTCTCTGTAGTTCATTAAGGAGATGGACAATGAAAAGCGTATGAGACTCCTGCAGTTCGTCACAGGCACCTGCCGTCTGCCTGTCGGAGGATTCGCAGACCTCATGGGTGAGTCTTTCGTGGATTTTTATCCACATACTGCATAAAAACTAATATATTTTATACTGTAAAGAAGTTTTATTATAGAGCATTTCAATGTGGTGATGCCATTGACCCATGAATATTTCCTGTTTAAACTACTTCATAACTGTAACCAGTTCAAACATAGTAATTCAATAATAACCTAACGTGAAAACAGCTATCATAACATGATCAATATGTGGCTCTTTTTGGGTTCTTGGAAGCTATAGAAAATAAAAATGTAAAACAGGAAATACGTCGGCACCATTGTTTTTGTTTACATCCCTCATATTATGTTTGTCTGTCACAGGGAGCAATGGACCACAGAAGTTCTGCATCGAGAAGGTCGGCAAAGAGAACTGGCTTCCTCGGAGCCACACATGGTACATGACCTGACCATAAACATCATGTTCATCTCAGCATTATAAAATAGGATTTTTTTTTTTAATCTGTGGACACATTTTCAAATTGCATTCATAAAATAACTATAATAATAGCTAAATATATACTATCTTTAACATTATTAGTAGCAAATATTAGTAGTATATAAGTACACACACACACATTGGGGAAAATAAGTATGCAATACACAATGTTTTCTCAGAAAACAGATATTTCTAAAGGTGCAGTCGACATGAAATTTTCATCAGATGTTGATAACAACCAAATAATCCATATATGCAAAGAAAACTAATCTAAATAGTTTACAAATGAAATTCTGTGTAATAAAATGAAATGACGCAGGGAAAAAGTATTAAACGCATGAACAAAGGGAGGTGTAGTTCAGCAGTGAAAGCCCAGACAGCTGGTTCAACATCTACATTAGCAGGAGGATGAAGATGAAACCAGGGTGGACGCAAGACAATCATCCAAAACACTGCCAAGGAGACTCTTAGATGCTTTCAGAGAAAGAAAATCAAGCTGTAGAATGGCCCAGCCAATCGCCTGATCTGAATCCAATAGAGAATCCTATGTATGTATATATATATATATATATATATATATATATATATATATATATATATATATATATATATATATATATATATATATATATATATATATATATATATATATATATAATCAGACATACTGTGAAAATCTGCATTTTCACTAGCCACAATTTTGTTATTGGGAAAATATTTTTATATGCATAAATATGACTTTGACATGCTAAAATTACTTGATTTAGATTTTTTTTGTCCACATGCCTTCTTATTCATTTCACGTTTTGTGTGTCGTGTATGAGCACATGGGTCATGGTTTAATGACTTTTCAGAACTCAAAATTAAGGATTTACCTGCTTTATCTCTGACCACACCAAACAATAATTATTTCTTAGCCACAAATTTTAAATGTGTCAAACAAGCTAAATATAGCTGTATACTATACTTTTTATTTAACAAAACATTTCTTTAAAAAAAACAAAGAAAAGCAATTGACTTTTTAAAATTATTATTGTCATGTATCAAAAATATGCACAGTAATCTGTCCTCGCTAAAGGTCTCTCAGATCAGTTAA